ATCCAACAACACTTGGGGCCCTAGCATGCCATGAGGGCTTAGCACTAGCTGTTGATCTGTCTATGGATAATCTAGCAGTCGCTTGTGATTGCAAACCAACCATGGATGATATCAAACAAGGTCTGGGAGGTTCGCATATGACAATCGTCAAGGAAATAGATAAAAGGAGAGCAAGTTTTGCTAGATGTGGTTTCATATTTGAAGGCCGAGCATCAACAGCTATGGTGAGCGTCTGTTCTCCATGGTGAATATTTTCCAAGTACACATAATTTTTTGTGCATTCCCAATTTCTTGTATTTACAAAAGGCAGATAGCAACCAAAAGAACAAAGCAGAATTTACAAACCCAAAATAAGCCTTGCATAGGCATAGGTTGGCACGTTACTGGGTTAGCCGTTTGCACCCCGCTTCAAGCGTAGCCTGCCTATTTGAGGCAAATAGGCGTCAACTAGGAGCTCTCGCTCACGGAAAGCACTAGTTGGGACATGTTAGCTATAGATAGCGTCATCGTGCTCACAAGGCCCCCTACGGTACTTCCTACATGGGCCTGCCCGTGTAGGTTTTTTCTCACCAGTTATGGATAGTTTTTCTCTTGTTTATGCAGGACAGGTTTCATTCGGGTTTTGTTTGTTCAAATTCATATTTTTTTTCAGACTCATGAATCTTTTTCAAATGAATGAATGTTTTTTAATGTCATGAATTTTTTTGAATTTTATTTTTTTTATAAAAGGTGAACAATCTTCTGTGTTCCTTAATCATTTTCAAACTCATGAACTTTGTGAAATTTCGCAAGCATGTTTTTAAAAAGTCATGGTCAACCAGCCGGCCAGCGAACCTAGTGAGCCCATATTCGTTTCGAGACATTTAGGCCAGGCCGTAATGGGCCGCGAGGCAGGGCCTGATGAGAGCCGACGCACACGCCCGTCTCTTGGTCCCGTCCCTTGTTTCCCCCGGCCGCCGCGCCGCCGTCGTCCTCCGCCCTCCCGTCTCCGCCGCGCCGCCACCCCGTCAGGTCTCCTCTCCCTCTCTGTAACCTCCTGCTAGAACCCTCTCCACCCCCCGCCCCTCTCCCTTCTCGTAGCCGCGGCCGGGCGTAGCGGGACTCGCTGGCTTCTGGATCGGCCGTGGTTCGCTGGGGGGTGGAGTGGCTTTGGAACTCCAGTGGATTCGATTTTGGCCGGGTTTGAGCTTTAATTTACGGGTCCTTCTCATTGAGTATGTACCAGATTCGTTTCTTTCGTTTAGGCATCGGTAGCTGCGTTGGGGTCGGCTGACTGAGGTGCCCTGAGGCTGAAGCTGAATCGGAACTCCGGCACCGGCGAGTCATGTCTGCGGCGGCGGCGAAGGAGGTGGACATGAAGAAGATGGAGCTTATGAAGGAGGTATTAGGGCTACATGTTTCTCTACCTGATGCAGTCCTTCTTTCGATTTGTTCTGAAGGCAGTACAAGATAGATAACCTGCATGCGTGTGTTGTTTGGTTCAGGTAAGAGCGCACCAAGTGGCAATCGGCGAGCTCAACAACCTGCCTCCATCCAGGGTAACTATCCCTCCTCCTCGGGGACTCGGTGAACTCTTTTATGATAGATTGCTGAATGAATTTGGGCGATGGTCAATTTGGGCTGTTTTACTGTGATGATGACTTGATAGTTGCTAGGTAGTAGCAACTGACCACTAGCCACTACACTTGTCTGATGCGCAGGCCGCGTACCAGAAGACCTGCAACATCTTCTTCCGCAAGGACATCAAATCCGCCGTCGCGTCCCAACAGAGTATGATCGATGCTCATCGCTCGCTTTTCTTGTTGTTTTATGTGTGCATCATTCATGGTGATAACATGATTCTTCTCTCTCCAATTTCTTATTCAGAGCAACTTGATACTGCCAAGGCGAAGCTGCAGAAGCTGGATCAGGCATCATGAAGGTTCACCGCAGAAATTTGAAATTGCAGCTCCATGAATCGATACCCTCTAATCAAGTGTCTTAGTAGTGCTAGACAACTTGCAACTTTTATATATATATAGCTTTCCGTGTAACAGTTGTGTCGTTTCAAGCTGGTTGCTAGTTATGGGTGCAAGACAAATCATTTCCTGATGAACATGGAGACTGGATATGGAACTGTAGCGCCATCGTGCTGTGCTTTGACAATTACTCCCTCTGTAAACTCATATAAGGTCTTTCAGATCGCTTGTGTGGTGAGTTACTAAATTCAGGTGGAGTCCTGTGTGGGACTTGTCATTCGGTTTAGTGCTGTTAACTAATGTTTCATTCCATCATACGATTGCGGGTGCACTGCTGTTGATGGATGTGATGAACCAAAGCAATGCTTCTCCTTTTGATGTTCTGGATGGATGGATGGTGTCGTTGGATTATAGTTTCCCCTCCGTATCGCAGGAGGAGAGGATGTTTCCAATTCTTTTGTAGCCTGTACTCTTAATTAAGTTGCATGGATAAGCATGTCTGTACTTAGCAAGGTTGATGGATGGATGAAATAATTAAGGAAAGGAAGTTGGTCCATTCATGTCAATTACTTATGATGTGAATCCGATGTTAAATGTTGGTGCTGTCGGGAAGACTAAAAGTGGTGAACTACAAAGCTGGTAGTCAGTCTGAAACATGTGATCGAGCTGTTTCGGTAAATTATTGTGCTGTACTCATCTGATAAGAGAGGCAATAGTGCTGGGAACGATAAGATCTGCTGAGCTTTAGAGCTGAATTTTTTGGGACTAATGAGTCGTGTGAGCAATTATTGTGCTGTACTCATCTGATAAGAGAGGCAATAGTGCTGGGAACGATAAGATCTGCTGAGCTTTAGAGCTGAATTTTTGGGACTAATGAGTCGTGTGAGCAAAGAGAAGCTCCCCAGAGACGACATTGTGCCTTTGTCTCTCTGCAAACTGGCCTGACCAACTTGCACTTCTATTGACAGGTTAGTTTTTATGTACTCCCTCCGTCCGGAAATACTTGTCATCACAATGAATAAAAGGGGATGTATCTAGATGTATTTTAGTTCTAGATACATCTTTTTTGTCCATTTTGATGACAAGTATTTTCGGACGGAGGGAGTATGCGCGTAAGCTGCTAACAAACTTTCAGGTAAACGCTGCTCAACTGGGAAGTTCCGCCGTTCGTGCTTGACCGGGAAGTTTCTGTACAAATGTTGATTGCCAAATGCGCATACCGCCACTGAATCCACTAGGACAATGTACCATTTAATGGTGTTTCAGTAGTATTGCCATACTGAACTTTGTACTGTTAAATTAATGGCATCTCTAAATGTGTCGAATCAATGGCATCATCAAACAACCGCTGGAGGGGCAACTTTGCAAGAACACTCGAAAAACATGCCTTGTCAGTTCTTAACGCAGCTAAACTGTCATGTACACTTGCAGCTCACCACTTGACATAAAGGAAGCATTCTTCCCAACATAAAAATGGTTACACAGACAACATACAACATGTATAACCTTTTCTGTTTTGCAGGTAAATATGTACTCCCTCCGTTCGGAATTACTTGTCTCGGAAATGGATGTATCTAGAACTAAAATACGTCTAGATACATCCATTTCTGTGACAAGTAATTTCAAACGGAGGGAGTATAACCTATACGGACGCATTCTTCTGAAATGGTAACAAAACAACATCTAACAAGATGATGAGGTTCAAGAACCACGTTGTCAACAACAACAACAAAAAAAGGTCGAAGAAGAACTACATTGAAACTGCTTGCACCCAGAAGTAATGGCAAGTCAGATCACCATGGATAGAAGTGATGTTCAGTTACAGAGTTATTGACCAAGGCCAAAACAAGGAAAAAGTTACACATGAACTGAAAACTCGGGACGACAAACCACCGTCAATACCAGAATACAAACAAATGCACTGACAATAGGCCAACAAGTTGAGACATCTCACTGACACATGCCCCTGGATCCTCCTTTGTTACATAGAAGGTTCGGAAAACGGTCAATCAAGCGGTGTGTCGACATAGCTCATCCATTGCGCCTTCAAAATGGGGTTATTTGTACTACCAGCGAGCATGCAGGCGGGTTGCTTGCCTTGCCTGAACCCTGAACATGAAATGGAGATGAGCAGGAACTCGTCCTGTCGGAGGAGACAGGATCTGAATGTACGTCTTCTCGCGAGGCTATCCTGAATTTTTGACGGAGGGAGATACTAGTTCGATCAATCCTAGCATGTTGGTCTGGTCTGATTACTGAATTCCTGTCCCAGCATCTCTGGGTCTGTCTTCTGAATGCAGCCAAGGAACTGAAAACAACCATCTTGTTTTTAGTTCAGAACATGTGGTGAATAATAAACATAGACGAAAAAAAGCAGGTTTACTTGTTGAAGATTTCAGATTTCTGATATGGCAGCAGAATAGTAGGTAGGCTTTTCCGACATGGCAGCACAAATCCCCAGTTTGTTTTCTGAAATCCCAGCAACTGGAGAAGAGAACTACTGATTACCGACATCAAAATCAAGATGGCCACATGGGTATGTATGAGGTTCTGATTATCAACTGACCTCCGAGCGTTCATCTATCTTCTGCGTGCGGCTAAGAAACCTGAGAAACAATCACCCTTAAAATAAATCAAAACATGAGATGGATAATGAACAGTGAAAAGCAGGTTTACCTTTTTCGAGCTTTTATTTTAGTTTATATGACAGCGAAAATATAGGCTTTTCCGGCAGCATGAATCCCCATTTCTGACCCGACGAGTGGGGAACAAAATGCTGAGATTGTGAGTATGAGACACCGTTATCATGATCGCGTGAGGACGAGGTTCTGAAGTGAAACCGAACCTGTTCATATCACAAGAAAAATATGTTAAGCATTTTCCCTCCCAACCAAATATAATAACTAATGTAATAGGTGATCCAGGACAAGGATGACCTGGGCAATCCCTCCAGTAGCATATAATTGTACGATTTTGGTGTTTAGTCGAAAAATAACTGGTAATATTTATGCTAGAAGCATACCTTAGAAAGGTACTCGGCGGTCAGTCCACAAAGTCCCCATCAATCTCGACCTCTAGTTTGTTTGTTGCTAGCAATCTGCATTGTTTTGATAACTCGGCACTGCAACGGAAGATCATCAGTTCTTCCAGCGAAAGTGGGAGGCCCTCCTTCGGAAGCCCTGAGATGCTAATACAACCTATGATCTTCAAGGCCTTGAGGCAAGGGAGGCCCCGCAGCCCCGCAGGAAGATCTACGAGATCGTCACAATCGACAAAGCAGAGCTCTTGCAGGGACCCGAGGAGCAGAAGCGCTCTCTCTTGCTCATCTATTAGTTTAGTTGCATTTAAAAACGTAAGCTTTAGGCTTCGGAGGCAGATGAGGCCCTTGCAGAATGACGTGTTAAGGAGAGACAAGTCATCGATCTTGAGACTTTCCAGTGCAGGGAAGAATAACTCATAACTATGACTTGGGATTCCCTCAATTTGCTCGAAACTCTCCAATGTTGCAAGGGAATCCAAGGCAGCGGACCTAAATAATACCACATGCTTGAGGCTCACGAGGGATCGCAAGCCCTCTAGTGCGACGAGTGAACTACACCAATCAATTTCCAAACGTTCCAGGGAGGTGCAGGAATACAACTGTAGAGATTTCAATATTGAGTTCTTATGTAATACCAAAGACCTGAGGGTTCCAAGTGATTGCATGCCCTCTAATGCGACAAGCTGTTCACAACATTTAATTTCCAAATCTTCTAAGGCCGTACAGGAATCCAACTGCAGATATTGCAAACTAATTCCGCTCCCTATGCTTAATATTTTTAGGCACGTGAGATTACCCACAAAACAGGGCCTCATAGTTGATCTGGAATAATCCCACCAAACAAGTTGTTCAAGTCATTGCGGGAGGAGACATCTTCCATTCTCTTGTCCGTCTTCCTCAAGGGAGGTAAATCCAGCAAAGCCTTCCCTACTCCCGTCAAATATTAGATGAGGGCATCTACGAATTGTTATCTTTTTGAGATTCAACGGAATGTGCACAAATCCTTCTACAACTGAACTTAGCCTTGTGTCATCTGCATATCCTGATGACGAAGCCTCAAAAGCGGGGAGAAGGTTTGAGTGTATCTTCCGTTCCTCTTCTATCTTCAACTGTTTCAACTGCAGACAATATTGTAAATCCAATTCCTTCAGGCTTGGCGAATGTTGCAGGATCAGAGATAGCCACTTCCCCGTTATTCCACATGCTCTGATATCAAGACTTTCAAGAGCAGGGAAAGCAGCATCATTTGCAGTTATCATGTCTTCATGGGTCTGCTCTGGCACATCATCTGAAGAGAAAAGTTCTTCGCAACCCACTATTTTCAAACTCTTCAAAGAGATAAGCTGACTTAAACCTTTGAATGAAATAGATGTCATGTTTATGCACGATAATATCTCAAAGTATTTTATATCCTTAAGATTACTGAATGCTAAAATTTTGTCACCGAGTGACATCATCTCACCCGGAATTCCATATTGGCAAAGCTTTAATGATTCCATGGAAGATCCCTCCATTGACATAATTCTTGGAACTTTGCGGATTAATAGTTCAGAAAGTATGGCTGAAGGCGGAAGGGCGATTTGGACTTGCAAATGAGGACAATCACATATGATGAGTTTCTTCAGACTGGGCAACCATGCCTTATGCTCAGTTTCATGGTTATGACCTTTCTGAAACAGATCAAACACCTCAAGTGTAGGACAACTCTGGATCTCCAGCACCCTTAAACTAGACTTCATATCCCCCACAGAAGTACAGGAACATCTCTGTAAATCTGGCATTCCATCTAAAACCAGCTCCTCCAATGGCGGAACCAATACTTCTCTTACTCTCCGCATGTTGCTCAACTTCAACCTTTTAAGAAACTGAAGCATTTCCAGAGGCGGAAGTATTCTCCATTCTTTGTAATCTTCTAGATGAACCGTATGCAATGACATAAAAAAAGCAACGTCCAACACTTGCTCAAAATGTGAGGCAAAGCCTTCTGCTTAGTATGAACATCATGAAGTTTTGGATCCCAAAGACATGTAGGATTTACCAAGCTGAGTAAAGACCTCTGCTCAGTATGAACATCATGAAGTTTTAGATACCGAAGACGTGTAGGATTTACAAAGCTACAAAGGAAGGAATTAAAATCAGTAGATGTTGCAGACATTTGCAGCAGACGTAGATTATGTGCTTTTCCAAATACATCTTGGAATGTTTTGAAGAAAAATGAGTCATATTTCCCAATTAAGACCAATGTCCTCAACTTTCTCACTGATGTGACTATATTTTGCAAGAAAAATTCAAACTTCTCATTACGAGGTATGTTCCTAGTCTGATCATCCCTCTGATATACAAAACTGGTTACTATGGACAAGTGATGTACATTTGGGAACATTTCATAGGATTGCAAACCATCCAAAGCCGCACACTCCGTTCTTGAAACTAGCTTTGTAAAATCATGCATCAAACCACACATAGTATAGCAAATTTGAGGTTGACTATCAAAAGAGAATCCTTTTCTTTCAAGCTGCTCAAACAAGCCCAGGTTCACCAAGTCAATTAGATAGTTTTGTCCAATCTCCTCCAAACTCTTACTTGAATGATCATACTTCACAAATCCCTGTGAAATCCAAAGACGAACTATCTCCTGATCATGAAATTCATAACCATAGGGGAATATAGAACAATATGAGAAGCATTGCCGTACAGGATAGGGTAGCTCATCATAGGAAAGCTTCAAAGAAGACATGATGCCACCAGTGTGTTGTAGGGATTTCCAATCTTCGGTCATTAGAATGCTACTCCAATGATCCACAGTAAGACGATCTTTTAATAGTGCCCCAACAGTTTGTGCTGCTAATGGGTTTCCTTTTAGCTTTTGTGCTATTACCTGTCCTATGTCACTTAGACTAGCTTGGGCTTCGTAATTCTCATCACCAAGTGCACATGCCTTAAAAAATAGCCAGAAATCATCATTTTTCAAACCATTTAAGTTAATTGGTCCAATTGTACCTCTCTTTTTGGCAACAGACGGTTTTCTAGTTGTAAGAATTATCGTATTGCCATTTGCACCATCATCAGACTTGAAAGGAGCCAACAATTTGTTCCACTGACAGTCATCCATGACTTCCCAGACATCATCTAAAATAAGTAGAACCCTCTTTGATTTAATATGACCCTTCAAGACCTCCTGAAGCTTGGTAAAACTGCATAGGCCATCACAAGTTTCTTGGGAGATGCAATCTAACATCTCTCTTGTTAGTGTCATTTCATCAAAGTCTTTAGACACCCAGATCCATATCTTGTGATCAAATAGACTTTGCACAGCTGGATCATTGTATACAAGCTGAGCGAGAGCCGTCTTTCCAACTCCTCCAATGCCTACAATAGGCAGAACAGCTACACCGGTAGTTGATATGTTTTCTTTTAGCCAAGTTTTTATGAATCCTCTCTGTTGAGCTCTCCCATACACTTTTCCTTGAAAAATACCTGATGTTCTTCGGCGTGGATCTGAGATTGTAGTCTGATAGTGACTTGAATTTGCACCAACAGAGTCGGACGGAAGTATCTTGAGAAGCCTTGTGATAGCCTCATGTTTCCCTAGCAGCTGACTAGTGATGTCTTGTGTCCTTTCGGAAAATGCGTCCTTGTTCCACCGGCCGTCAGGGTTAGCTGCAGTGATGTGTGTTGACTCCTGACCGGTTCTCATCCTTTTTCTGCTGCCAGTAACAACAGGGGTAGGAATTGTAGTAGCATCGTCGGTGCTGCAATAAGTAATAAATCATGGATTGGCAATGAGAACCTTAATAATACGCTCTTAACCAGATGTATAAAGGAAGGCTCCCAAAAATGTTTTTGTGCAAGGCATTAAATAGTTTTGGTACCTTGAAGAAGGGTCACTGGCTCCACGTTTCTTGGCACAACCTTTGCTCTTGAGATGGTTGTACAGAGTAGCTCTTTTTGACAGTGCTTGCATCTTGCTTTGGCAGGCCCTCTGTTTTGTTCAAACTCTGTGATTTCAAAGTGAATCCATCCCTCGAACCGTAACCTGCTATTACCGCTACTCTGTACATCAGCATTTTCACTAGATCTCTCAACTTGATGCGTCCCATGCCCGTCTGTTTCCAGCAGTGTCTCTAAGACAGAACAAAATGAAATTGAAACTGCCAATTAGCACGAAATTCGTTGTTATTACAATCTAAATTATCACAATAATATTTTTCTTAAATTAGCAAGCAATTCAGTAGATACTTGGATCTAAAAGCATCATCAAAATTTTACCCGGTTGGAGCTCCTGCTGCAGCCTGTAGCAGTCCAGCTCATCTACCACGTCGTCGGCGTCGTAGAGCAGCTCCTTGACCTGAGCGAGAGATCGGGTCAGCGGCTTGTTCCCGGCTGCCCTCCCCTGCACAGCAGAAACCACCATCTCCACTGCCTCGACCTCGGACCTGAGCTTCTCCACGTCGTTGCCGAGGCCAGCTTGGCGGATCCATGAATCCAGCTTGCCGCCGTCTTGGAGATTCCCGATGATGGTATCTGCGAGCCACCCGATCGCGGGCTCCAGAGTGGTGTCTTCCACCACCTCCATCATCAGATACGGCGGAACTGCGGAAGCAGGTGATGGAGATCAACAGCAGCTGAAAGCAACGCGGGAGCAGAGCGCTATGGCATGGGAGATGGAGAGACGGCAGCTGGGAGAGGGAGGGGTTCAGAGGAAGAGGAAGGAAGGTGGTTGACTTTAGAAACGTTCAGTTCAGATTAGTACTCCCATAAATCATAAATGTACGTAGCTTCTTACATGGGCCATCTTCCCAACGAGCACACACACTGACACTGTGGCCCATCAAACCTCCTATTCTACTAGTACGATGTTCCTCTGCTTTTAATCTCAAGAACATAAGAAAGTGTTCCTTCACTTTTGCAAATGATTTCATTTTGAGTAACGAACAAGAAAGTTGGGACAATCCTTTTATTTTCGCGTTTGCTAAACATTAGGTGCCTATAAATTTTACTGCCGCTAGTAATTTTTTACTTCGACAAGGTTGGCGGCGAGGACGACATGAGGAGCGACAGCGATGGGCATCGGCCGCAGCGAGCCCGAGCGCAGGTGTGGGGGTCGTCACAGTTTTTTGCAGATCATAGGGCTTAGAGGGACGGTCGAGGCGTGCCAGCATAATGGTGGGGGAGGTCGAGGTGATGTGCAGCAGCACTTGCCGGCTGAGGGGGGCGGAGGCATCATTTCTCGGAGTTTTCCCTCATATTTTTTGAAGTATGTCTGCCCGTTTTCCCACCAATCCATACTCCAATTTTATTTTCATTGACCTTTTTCCTTTTTGTGCATTTTTCTCCTAAAATATATGATATCTTTCCATAATACATAAAGGCGTTTTAAAGTGCATGAATATTTTTCAAATATATGCCTAATATAAGAACACTTTTTCTAAAAGCATGAGTACTTTCTAATACATAAAAAATGATAATCGCCTTAATTATTTTTCACATGTACTATAAATTTTGTTTTGTATAAATGAACATTCTTTTTTTAAATAATTAAATTTTGTATTAATATTTTATTTTATAAATATAAACTAGGAAAATAAAATCATAATTTAAATAGAATATACAAGCTTCCGTTTGGGCCGAGCCAGTCCAGCCCATGTGGGTGCTATATGGTCTATTCATGTGAGAAGTTGGTAAAAATATAGCTCATTCCCTTTCTTCTTCTTTTGAATAATTCCGTTTCTAACTTTCATCTTCGCATATGTGAACACAAAAAATAGAGATATGCACGGAAAATCAATCAGATTAACTACTTCATTACTCTCAG